ATGCATTTGAGTTTGGAAACGTTGTAGGCACAGTAGTTATGATTTTTTTCATTGATTTTGAATTTTGATGCAGCCCTCTGGTAGAGTGAATGCTAGATTCCTAGTCGACCAGCAAAAATAATAATAATGATGTCAGGGGCCTAATGAAGTTTAGCTTAAGACAAGCGAAGGTTCAGGTATTTTGCACTTGTCCTACAATTTTCCCCATTAAATAGGCCCGCCACAGTCTATGCATGTATTTATTAGAATGCGTGTGTAGAAAATAGCTATACACATCTACACACAAGCACAACTCACACTCGTTTTTTTGTCACCAGGGGAGGAGGAGGAGGAGGAGGAGGAGGAGGAGGAGGAGGAGGAGGAGGAGGCTAGAGCTCTCTAGTAGAGAGTGAGAGTTTTCCCTTTCCTTTACGCAACGGAATCTGAACCAGCCTTTCCTGTTCGTAGCACCGTACCCCGTATTCAAGAAATTTGGCACACTGCCAACAGCCGAAGAGGAAAGGATCGAGAACGTGACTGGCACTGGAAGGCATGATTGAGAGAGTATGAAATGTGTGTTGGTGAGTTCCGTTCTGTGGTTGGGGGTCGTCGGTTGCGGTGAGTGATCCTTGTTTATTACTTCGCCTAATGTATTTTCCCGTTTTTCCGAGCACACACGACTTGGACACGGGTTCGTGCATTCCAGTTGTTGGATATTGTTCCTTTTACTTTATGAGGCGACAGGAGTTTTCTTCTAGATCAAATGCTTGAGCACATTAACTCTCGTTTGTGAAAATTTCAAAACAATTCAACCGTTGCAAACGGTAATAGTACATATCGACTAGAGTGAATTTTACAAGAGACGATCTTATTCAAAATACTCTAATAATAAAATCAATTATCTAATTAAGCTGAATATTGCATTACGTCAATGACAACAAATCAAGTAGACTGGTAACTCCTCCATTTTTTTTATATACTTTATTAGAGAGATTTTTAGCCGTTGGCTAGTTCATCTCTATAAAATGGGAGGCCCCAGAGGGGGGTTCCGCCAGCAAATTTTGTTACGGAGTTGGCTTACAATTCACATGTACTCAAATAGAAGTAATTAAAACAGATTCCAGTAAAAAGACGAACAATACAGGCAACGAGAAGAAAAAAAAAAAACAATCTGGTACATCAAAGTTAGGTAGGGTTTTGAAAGAGGTCGGAGCTCCCCCGTAGGAGGGGTAATCCCCCGTCCGGTAGAGATGTACCTCAGCCAAAACAAAGTTAAAAGGACCTAAATGTTGTTGTATAACCCAGCGTCCTTGAGGAAATAAATAACTGTCGCTAAAGTGGAAGGTTCGTCGCCCAGTATGTCCCTAATGCTGTTGGTAAGTGCGTACTGCTCTCGTAGATGTTGGTATTGCGGACACATGCATAGGATGTGTTCCACCGATGCAGTGGTTCCGCAAACGTAGCACATTCTGTGGAACTGCGTCCCACCAAAACTATGTGAGATCCTTGTATGGCCTGTCCTAAGACGAGAAACCACCTTCTGGTCCCGTAGTTTCGACATATCCGTCCACTTGCTCGTCGTTCCTTCGATTCTTCGGATGAAGAGGGATTGGGATTGGCACCACTCTGCTTCCCAGGCTTCCCACATTTTGCTGACTATCCATCGCTTTATGTCCTGTAAAGGCACTTCGTCGGTGTAACGGGGGCCAGCTGGTCCAGACCCTGCCAGGCTGTCGGCTTCGCTGTTGCCTGGGATACCGCAGTGCCCAGGGATCCAGGAAAACACCGTGTTGGGAGGTGTGGCCTCCACAATACCCTGTATCCAGGGGTGAGTCATGGTCTCCGATGTAAGGGCTTGTATCACGCTGTACGAATCGGATAGCACCAGTATGGGCCGGTCCGAGGGCGTCGTAACGGCAACAAAGATGGCCGCAGCCTCGGCGGAGAAAACCGAGCATTGTGGTGGTAGGCTGCTACTCATCGGTGCTGAAATTCCGGCTACTCCAATTCCGACCCCGGCTCGGGAAAGCGATCCGTCTGTGTATATGTGGCCATGGGTTGGATAGTCCGAGCCTAGCAGTTCGGTTATTGTTCTCTTCAGCGCTGCAGAGTTATCTCCAGCCTTGAACCTGCTTTTTATCCGACTATCGATTTTTTGTGGAGGTATGCGCCAACTTTTGTCTCCGTACCAGTGGACCTTGGGCACTGGGGGGAGCTCCGAATGGGCAGTCATCCGGAGGAGTCTGTTCCCCTCATCGAGGAGAAAGATCCTGTCATTTCCGGAGGTCATTGCGGTAAAGGCAGCGGCTTTCGTTGCAATTGCTGCGGTTATACGATGGCGGAAGGGCAGAATACCCGCTTCGATGCATGCGGCATCGGCGGGCGTTGACGGAAGAAGACCGGAGACAATCCGAACGTAGGTGTTAAAAGTTGGTGCTAGTATCTGCTCGAGCTTTTCGGTGGCGATGCACGTCATCTCAAGACCGTACAGTAGGCGACTATCGATGACGGCTCTTGCAACCCGGAAACGAGTGTCACGATTGTTAGACCGGTGGGGGCGAGAGATAGTGCGGATCAAGTTGATCCTACTGCGGCAGTTGTTCTTGATCGCCTTAAAGTGCTGCTCGAAGTTGAGGGACCGGTCAACAAGTACCCCCAGAATACGGACCGTCTTCTTCAGTGGTATGGGCTGGCTTTGAACTTTAATAGGTGGCCCGCTGACACGGTGCCGGGATGGACACACGTGGCACTTGACGCTTTTCGTGGCCGAAAGCTGGAAACCTACCGCGCTGGCCCACCTGGCTACAGCGGAGACTGCTGCCTGGGCCTTGATCCTGTTGCGTGCTGCTGTTGGGCCGGTAGTTACGATAAGTACATCGTCTGCATACACGAAAACTCCGTTCATGGCCACAAGGAAGAGGGTAACGGCGATAACTGAACCTTGAGGGACGCCCGTCTCTTCTCTGAAAAGCTGGGACCTCGTGTTGCCCACTGCGACTCTGAAAGAGCGATCGGTCAGGAAATTTTTGATGAACACACACAGCCCCCAGTTGACAAGCTGCTCTAAGACGAGGGGCGTCCACGTCCTGTTGAAGGCCTTCAAGGTATGGAGACCGCTATCGTTGGCACTCTTGAGGACCTCCCCTAATGTTGCAAAATAAGTTGACGTTCCGTACCCTTGACGGAAGGCGTGCTGTCGATGGTCTAGAAGGTTTTCGGCTTCAAGGAAATGCTTTAGCCTCCTGTTGACCATTCGCTCCAGGACCTTGGCCATACAGCATGTCAAGGCTATTGGCCGGAACTTGCTAGCTTCACGGGTTGTTTCATTGGCTTTTGGGATGGGGATGACTAAGCTCTCTAACCACGACGCTGGATACGAGTTGGTGAGCCAGAGCTTGTTGAAAAGCTCCAGCATCCGTAGCTGGCCTGGCGTTGGTAACCTCTTGAGTAGACCGTACCCGATTTCGTCGGGACCCGCCGACTTTCCGTTGCTGCAGCGGAGGGCATGCTGCAATTCCTGCCAGGAGAATGCCTGGTTGATGTCCGAGTTACCAGCGTCAGAAGAAACAGAAAAACTTGCAATGGATGACGTCGAAGGCTTAGCTTTCCGCTTGAATTCGTCTTCGTACTTCTCGATGGCTGCGAGATCGGCAAAGTACGAGCCGAGTTCGTCCGCTACAATTGCAGGGTCAGAAACAGCTTCACCGTTAATCTGTACGTGGAGCGGTGTCATGCGCCGTTTCCCACTGAGGGCGTTGACTTGCCTTCATAAGTCAGCCGAAGACTGTGACGAATTCATTCCTTCCAGAAAGTCCATCCAGCTGGTTCGTTTGGCGACACGGATTTCTTGCCGGCATTGATTGTGCAACTCATGGTGCTTTACGCCGGGCTTTAACGGCTTTCCTCGTATCTTCATTCCACCAGCGTAGCGCTTTTCGCCCCGGAACGCTGCTGGTCTTTGGGATGGTTGCTGTTGCTGCTTCGTATACCACTTCTGAAAAGTCTTCAATGCTGTTCGAATTACGCTGTAGTAACAAGGACTGAAAGGCTTCACCATAGCTATCCCAGTCCACTTGTTCATAGCGCCATCGGGGCCTCCGTGTTGTCATCGGGAAGATAGCGGTCGAAATTTGAACTTTGATGGGGTAGTGGTCACTATCATAGAGATCAGTGTTCGCGCTCCACTGAGTTTTTCCGGCAAAGCAGCGGCTGACAGCAGAGACGTCGATGACAGAAGTATGCCGCCCGTTAAAGTACGTGGGCACACCGTCATTCAGAATCACCATGTCTTCCTTCTCGAAAATATCGACCAGGGTATCACCTCGAGGGTCGGAGTGGGGGCAGCCCCAGCTTGGGTGGTGCCCGTTCAGATCCCCAACCAGGATGCGCGGTTCCGGTAGTTTAGCTATGGCTTCGCTGAGTTGATCGTGCAGGTTTGGCAGCCGTCCGCATGGCAGGTATGCACATGCGACGGAGATGTTCGCCGGTGCCGCCAGCTGGACACCAAGTAAGGGAAGCTCGGAGTCCATATCGACAACCTGGAAAGGTATCGTCTTCAAAACCCCGATGGCCACGGAGTGCCGGAAGTTGTTTCCCCGTTTAGCTGTCCACGTATACTTACCGCCTAGAGAGCGGTTCATTTGGTCTGTTGTCGCTTTGTTAGTTTCCTGGAGTGCAATGACCCAGGGGGGGATCGTCGTGGCAAAGGAGCTCTAGATCACCAATGTGGTTCAGGAACCCGTTAATGTTCCACTGCAGGATAAAGTTTACTGGCTTAGGTAAGGTAGGAGTGGGGTACGAGCGCGCTGTGATTGTGGAGCTAGTGTCATCGCGACGGTGACTGCCACTCTGGTCGACGGGTAGTTCTATATCGTAGGTGTCCGATCCATCGTGATAGTCGGAGCCAGCTGACAGATTGATGTTGTATGCTGAATGAGACAGAGCCCCACCAAGGGCAGGTGTAGAAGTTCCACCCACTCAGGGCAGGGATGACCCAACAGAGAGAGAAGAGGTATTACATGATGGCGTACTGGGTTTGGCAGCTTCGGTCGTTGTTATAGCAGCGTGTTCGAGTCCCTCGAAGTCCTTCGGGGAATGGGTCGATGAACCCTTGTTCGTCCCGATACTTGAAGCCTCCTCCATTTTCTAATACGAACGCTCTGAGACAGTGTAACCGTTTAGTTACAATGTCCTAGGTTTTAATTTGTGCATGTTGTTTTAGGAAACTGTAGTGTTGTTTTAGTGTTCGTGTTGGGCTAGTATGATCAGTAGGATTTTTGGTAAAATTGCTGTAAATTAAAAAAATGTATAAGTTTGTGTTAGTAGGATTAGATTGAAATTGATATTTTTATAGACTTAATTGGGCGAGACAGGATCGAAAGGGTGCTGTGATCAACTGTGGTAGAAAAACTGAATAGGCGAAGGAGATGATATGGATGGGTGGATACGTCTATTAACGTCTCTTTAAACTGTTCCCCTACAAGAGGAGAATTTAGTTCATTCGAGACGGAATATATGGATGGGTGGTGATAAGCTACAAGGAAGGAAAATGGAGGAAATAAGGAATGAATTGAAAACTGGATGGGAAAAGGAGGGCTTTTGATAGCTGGGATGGTCAACCATTTCCCAGAAGTATACCGGCGTTCGTGCGTACAAGACGTGAGTGGAGTCAATACTATAGTGAATGGAAAAAAGTGCCTAAAAGTGCATTGAACAACCTCCTTCTGTTCCGTTCAGGTAACTGAGTTTGACCAAATTTGATTTTGGCTTGGTTTTAAACAACCATTTGTCCTTCAGGCCTTTTTTATTTGTTCCACGGATATCCTCACGATCGGCACGTTTCGACCAAGTCAGTCTCGACTGTCTTGGACTCAAACTCAAGGACCTTCCACTCTCCGGCTTATAATTGCCAGAAAGGAGAGCATCGTCGGACGCGGAAGTCCTAATCGTTAAGGAGGAAGACCCTTCTCGGCTCGAACAAGGTGGCCTTGTCACGGTCAACTGATATTTGCCAACGAAGGGAGACGCCGTTGCCAACAGAAAAGGCTACTTTGGTAGCTTCACAGGGATCGCTACATTCCCTGGTTACGAACAGCCATCGCAACGCTCAAAAACAAGCCACCGATCCGCCATTGTCGTGACCACAGCTCCAGTTACCAGGCGCCATCTTTCAGCCCAGTTGAAGCCACCGATCTGCCATTGTCGACGGAGTGATCAAGCCAAGGACCGCCATCGCGGTCAAACAACATCGGCCTCAACACAATCACCACCCGCGAGCGCTCGCCATCGTCCAGTAAACGCCACCGGTACGTACCAAAGAAGAAGAAACCCATAGAACACACTCCACAATAGCTCAATAAAACCATCCTCACCATAATACTATTTCAATAAATTTATAGACTTTTTCCACCCACACTTTAGCTTTCAATTAATTTCACCATCACTAGAGAAATCCACTTTGTTCCGCGTAGCCCCTCCGGATTACCCAGTAGCATGCCGGCCCTGTGACACAGTTCAGGGGTCTCATGCTACTGAGCTAGTTATCCGGGAGTCTTGGTTGAGCCACTAGGGTGAGTCTCATCTAGTCTCAACAGGTACAATCGCGTCATCTGCCGCTCAAAGGTAAATTCTTCGAACGAATTTGATAGCAAAGATTACGTCCACCCCAAGCAACATTGTAAGTTTTATCGCGGTTTTATAGCATCTAAATTGCTACTTGGGTCGGAAGAAAGGTTAATGTATTTGCTCATTTTTCTATGCGTTGCTACCACCTTCACTCAAGCGCAGCGCTGTTGTATCTGTCGCTTGGATTCTGGCAAAGTTGCCAGTCTTCTTGATATGATGTCTCCGATAAGGTCCTAAGTAACATTGATCGATCCTTTTCGTCGACTTTCTCTTTCGTTTATAGCTTCAGCACATAACCGTTTCTTGATCTGTTTGACGTGTTAGATGATACATAAAAGCTTCTTCTATCGATCTGTGTGCCGAAAATAAGTGGGAATGTGGGAATGCCGTGGGAATTCAAAGAGAAAGTCGACGAAGAGAATCTGTCAATGTTACTTAGGACCTAATTTGCCGTATATCAGAAAACGTTGCGATCGAAAATGGTAGGGTTACGGGATGTAATTTCAGCCTAGTCTAATTGTAGTGAAATTTTATTAATTTTCGATTCCTAGACGCCATGATCTTGCCGTATTATTGCACTAACAAAAATCTACACTTCGATGGTCATCAAAAAACTAGATAATTTCATGAATTGAAAGAACCTACCTTTTTGTAACATGCTAGCCTAATAAATCAATATCGCACTTTACACTCTTACTGCGAATTTAAAACATTTAGCGCTTTTAGCACTTTATTACTATAGACCGAACATTAGGGAGGGGAAAAGTTGGCTTCGGCAATACCTTAACCTATTATCGTCAGGGGGCAAACAACGTCCTTGAGAGCTCAATTTTGGCATGTGGATACATTTTGTTTCAGAGCAACTTTTGGCCAAATTTGAGTGCTCTAGGACTTTGTTTACCCCCCTGACGATAATAGATTAAGGTATTGCCGAAGCCAACTTTTCCCCGACATAATTTTGATGCTTGTTCCTAATTATGGCTTACGAACTTTATTTGATAACTTTGTTTTGGTATTTGAGAGACCCGTAAACAAAAATGTTAATATTTGCGTGAAAGGAGGGGTCGAAACGGTACACACGCTATTTCTAAACAACCTACATTTGAGAAGGATCTACTCATATTCGTCAAACGTAGGGTACACCAAAATCGAGTAAACAAAGTTTTGACTAACAAGATGACGAATGGAAAACATCGACTTGAATCCGAACGATGTTGTTCATTTGTCATCTTGTCAGTTGCAACTTTGTTTGCTCAATTTTCGGTAGCCCTACTTTTGACGGATATGAGTAGATCCTACTCAAATTTTGGTTGTTTAGATATAGTTTGCAGTCAATCCTCCCTTCAAAACGTCATATCTAAATCTCAATTTAAGATAGTCAAAACATCTCACGATAGCGAATCCATCAACGAAAAATCTTTATTCATATCTTGCATCTAAATCCATCTACTTGCATTTTTCTCCACCTTTTTGCAGCCAATCTTTAAAATCCTAATCAATCTTCCTCCTATCTAATAAGTGTGCGGACATCGCGCAACAGCAGAGCAAAATTTTCCCTGCATCTTAGATAGAGTCGCTTCCCTTATATTTGAGTACCGCTCACTCAAAGTCGCTAAAGCGTAGATAACTCGTAGAATGAGTAAATTTTTAACAAATATCTCTCATATTTGAGAGAAATTTACTCATATTTGAATGACATTTAATCATATTTGAGTAAACATTTTCTCATTCTATGAGTGACTTAAGTTTTTGCGAATCTGAGTGATCGGGATTCAAATATGAGTCATATTCATTTACCGTATAGGGCCTTCAGCACCCTAGTAAAAGTTAAGGTTTTCACTAGAAAATAACATGCAGGAATCAAGTGAAATAGAAACATAAGTTCTTTTAGCAACAGTTACGTGTATTGCTCGCTGTAGAACCAGCGGATCAGTAAAATGTAATATAGTGAATGCGATGCTTGTTTTCTTGACTGCATATCTTATAATATTCTAGAGATTTTGAGCTAATGTTACATTTCCATTATTATCTTAGACATGTAATTGAATTTTGATACGGTTTTCATGGAGATGCATATTAGAAGCCTTTTCAACAAGTTTGTAAAAAAAATAGATTGAGTTCATAGGTATTATGTCCAAACGAACGGTGGCCCATCTCGCCCCGTATGGTCTTCTTGCCCCCATCGCCTCTATTGGACTGAATTCGGAAACGCTCATTTCCAACCGGTTTTCGTTTTGGGCTGGAAATTCTCTAAAGCAACAAATTTAAAAAATCTGGGAAAATCCGGAAAATAATTAATTGTTGGATTGCAGTTTCCAGTCGGTCGTATTCACCGTCTACTGCGAAAGGGCAACTATGCCGAGCGTGTTGGAGCCGGTGCTCCCGTCTACGTGGCTGCCGTGATGGAGTATCTGGCCGCTGAAGTTCTCGAGTTGGCAGGAAATGCCACCCGTGACAACAAGAAAACCCGAATTATCCCACGTCACCTGCAGTTGGCCATCCGCAACGACGAAGAGCTGAACAAACTTCTTTCCGGAGTGACCATCGCTCAGGGTGGTGTCCTGCCAAACATCCAGGCCGTCCTGTTGCCCAAGAAGACCGAAAAGAAGGCCTAAATTCGATCGAAGTTCCCACCCTTTAACAAAATCCGTCCTTTTCAGGACGACAAATTTGATGGTAAAGAGTTTCGTTTTCAAAACAGTTTCCTTCGTGGTGCGCAAGGAGTGATAAAATGAATCCATTAAAAACAAGGTTGAATCTTTCTGTCATGCTCTCCCTAGTTAATGGATATCCTCATCGAGTAGGTTCGATGATGGTTGATTAGTGTAGGCGTGTCTTGATTTCCAAGAAATTCTCGATGAACATTTCAAATGGTCCTATCTGCTATGATCGATTCTCTTCATCGAATTTTTCTTTTCATAACCACTGCTATGCAAACCTATTTCGCGCTAATTCTACCACATAGTTTGATAAAGGAGGTTCTTATCTAGCGTCCAAAACGTCAAATACAACAAGGAATGGTTTTGCAGCTGAGTGATTGACGAAAGAGAAAGTCGATGAAGAGAATCGATCAAAGCAGATAGGACCATTTGAAATGTTCATCGAGAATTAACCAGTGCAGTGTTATCATTCCATCCATATCTAAAATTAAACTATCGACTAAATTTTCAATAGCGCCCTAAAATAGCCATCAGTACCGTCCCAACGACGCGTTCATATGGATAAGATTGGTAAATAGCAGATTTTTAGTGATGGGCCCAATCTCAGATCCATTTCCCCTACCTTGCAGAGCTGCGGTGGTTCTGGATTTATGGCCTACATTGATGCAGTGGAATGACATTCATTAGCAAATTACGGTTGAGATTTCAGAAATGATCGTGGTGTGCGTCCAATTTGAAGTGTGGTGTGATTTCTGATAAGGTATTAGTACCTCTGGAAGTGAATTAACTACCTACGTGACATCGGTTTACTGGATCCCGGTAAGTGTACCTTACTCTCCGCTTTGGACGTGAACTGCTTGCCTTCAATAAATTGATTGATTTGACTAGTAACTTCAAAAGAGGTTTTCCTCGGACCGCTGATTCTGAACTGTATTGTTCCTTCATTGCTCAACATTTACCGTTACCGTTGGGGCTTCCGGTCTTCTTTGCTTAGCCAACCGGTTAATCGTATTGAAGCGATACTTCTAGATTATTATTACGCCTATACTGTGGGCTCATAGAACAATAAAACCGAGCCTGGTTAGTAGGTGAACACAAAATACTAAAGTAGAACATTCTACCAACATATAGAGTCCAAAAGATTCCTTCAAAAAGGCACAATATATGCGACCGAAACTTCGGATGAAATCCAAACAGATATTTTGAGAGGAACCAGTCGATCACAATCCTCTTATTGAGTTTAACCGGTATTAACAGAGAAATAAGACGCGTTAACCACGAATCCTTGGGAATGATCGTGACACGCTTCATATGGATGACGAATCGTCCTCATCTCATCCTCAGAAAATGGTACCCATTATTTTAATCGGCATCCTTTTGAAAAATTCCCCTCTCAAAAAGGCTTTTCATGTACTGCCAGAAGGTAGGGGGAGAGAGGCAATTTAATTATTACTAAAATGAACGAAATTTACGATGTGCGCTTCCATCATGCAAACTTTATTTTGATTGCCGAAGCATACACTCAAAAAATTTAACACATAGGTATCTAATGGATGAAAACCATGTGAATTTCACATAGCTAAAAATCCCACCACAAAATCACATGAATATCATGAGGCCGATGAAAGTCATATGAAAAAAGTGTCGGAAAGGCATTAGCAAATTAATCGTTAAACTCTTTCTTGATAATGTTGTGGCCCTGAAAAGGGCCATTTTTCCAACGCGCTCGGCGTAGTTGCCCTTGCGGAGCATACGGTGAATACGACCGACTGAGAACTGCAGCTGGGCATTCCATGACGGCGGCCCAGTATACCGGAGCACTGGCACCAACGCACTCGGCGTAGTTGCCCTTTCGCCCCCAGGCTCTTCTGCCGCTGCTCTGCTGCCGTTGCTCTGCTTCCGCTGCTCTGGTACTGCTGCTCTGCTGCTCTGCTGCTGGGTCGAAGATCGGATAGACAATGATGGAACGGGCGACCTTGTTGGACGCTTATATAGTAGAACAGAAAATATCAGAGGTGTCAGATACTTGCATCTGATGTCTCGGTTGGAGAAAGTATAAGAATATAAAAAAAATCAATCGATTTTCACCATCTTTAGACAATGGTTTACTTTTGACCATTTTTCAATAGTTTACAGAATGAAATCAATAGTTTTGAAACATTTAGCTAATTGCTAGAAATATTTCCAATCGATTGATGCCATTATCTCGTAAATCTATCGAGAGACGGTTGAGTTATTATCGTTCAAAATCTTTTAATTATTCGTAACGCATCCAAAATGACTGTTTTCAATTTTGTACCCCGTATGTTGCCGAAATACGTTATCCAACGTCAAAAGTAGAAGGGTCTGTGCCTAGGAGTACGAACGGAAACTTGACGTATTTAGGACCGCTAGTGGACGGAATAAATGTGAAGAGCATTTAGTTCTTTTAATTGATCAATTATCTATTATCTCAACTCTTTCCGTTTTTGAATTGTAGGCGTACCAAATTTGTAGTAATTTTTTTCAAAGAGAAAGTTGATTAAGAGAACCAATCAAAATCACTTGCATCCCTGATTCCAAATTTGGTTACAAGATTACAACTCTGGAGAGCATTTTGTGTGGTCGTTGTGGGGCTTGTGGTTCTGAATATGGACAAGGAAGCACAGATAAATTCTATTCCAACTCTTTACTGATGTAAGTTTGATGGACCTGAAAAGGGCCGTTTTATTGAAGAGAACATCCATGGCCTCTTACGCTTGGCGTGTTTAGTATAGGTGACAGCATCACGGACCTCATTTTCCAGGAACACCTTCAGCACACCTCGTAGATCAGATGGCGGTTATCTCGAAGAACTTTGCGATGACGCTTTGCGCCTCTTTTACCAGACCTTTTCCTCCTTTGCCACGACCAGTCAATTGTTGCTTGTTAGGTGTGAAGGACTGGACTAGCCACCACCTTCCTACTGCTGCTATTGCTGTTCACCACGCCGTCCGAAGCGAAAATGAGCTAATGCCATACAGCAGCGCTCTTTTATATCTTTTCAGGTTAAAGCAGAATGATGTGTAACCAAGTGGTATAAAAGCTGCAAAGACTCCTCCCATTATGAGTAGTTTGCTATCAATTAGCGACACAGGCTCTTTTCCTTTTGTGTACACGGCGACCAAATCACTCATAATCGTCAAAAGTGCAGGAACTCAGCGATGAGTAAATTTGTCTCATGGTTTCCTGTGGAAAACCTAAAAAATCTGCCAGAAAGTAAGGAAATTGACGAAAATGTTATTCAGTCTCGGAATAGTTCCAATAGACTGAGTGAATCCAGTCTTTACTTTTCCTGGAAAATCCTGGGAAAACGTGAGGCAAATTTACTCATCGCTGAGTTCCTGCACTTTATTTCTTATTTCTGAGATAACTAAACTCAAATTTGGGTCGATCTCATTCGCCGTGATATCACCTTGAAAGACATCGGCGCCGGTGGTTAGCGTGATGATCTCTCACCCCAGCAGGCCTGGGTCCAATCTCAGTCGGCGCCACCGGCATGTTCTAAGGCATAACCTCTCTGATCACGTCTTCCTTCAGGATTTAAGCCGTTGGTCCCCGGTTGAGTTGATGGGTAGGGTCCAGGTGTGGGAGCTGCCTCCCTGGCGTCGGTAGCATTGGAGCTTAGTACGGAAAACAAATCTCGCGTCACTTTTAATAGGTCCTATCTACATTGATCGATTCTCTTTATAGAGTGTCGATAAATAACTCGGCTTCACAAATGTTTCCTGCCGTCTTCGTCGAATTAGATGCTAGATTGCTTGTTCCATCGAAAATATTCGGCCGTGGCGATTCAAAGTTGTTCAAGGTTGATCAAAATAATTTGTACCCCTGCTTCCAGTTTGATTACATGAGCATTTTGTGTGATCGTTGGTTCTGAATATGGACAAACAGGCAGATGAATTCTATTCCTACTCTTTACTGTAATAAGCTTGGTGGCCCTGAAAAAAGCCTTTTTGTTGCCAAAGTTGGTGATGATTTAACCTCCGAAACCAAACAGAGTGCGTCTCTGTCACTTCAAAACGTAGATGACATCCATGGCTGCTTACGCTTGGCGTGTTTAGTGTAGGTGACAGCATCACGGATCTCATTTTTCAGGAACACCTTCAGCACACCTCGTAAATCAGACCGGAGATACGTCAGACATCGCCACGGCGAGCCAGACGACGGATGGTAGTTATCTCGAAGAATATGCGTTTGGTTCTGAATATGGCGATGCGTGTGCAAAATATTACGCAATTCCATCCTTCCTATTCGCACGCGCCCGAGGATCGGAGGCGAATGCCACTTCGACTTGTTTCGTCTACTTACTACTCTCTGACGACTGTGCTGGGGAAGCAGCATATGCATGTAGGTAATTGGTGGATTTGTTAGTTAATTCGACGCTTTTGGACAATGCTGGACCAGTTTTTCAATAGTTCATGTTGAAAATCAACATTCGAAAGCATTGTTATCGATGTCTAGCCATATTAACGTTCAAAATCTTTCTTAATTTGTTACATGTTCCATTTTCGGTTTTCACAAAATGTACCCCCATATAGAAATCAAAGACGTAGTCCTACGTCAAAAGTATCTCGGCTCATCTTCATGATCCTCCAGATTGTTTGTGCTACGTATCGAATATTTAAAAAATATCTGATGTGTATTTAGAATATTTGAATAAATTAAAGAACACTATTAAATTATACAATATTAAAGATTGTAACTGCATATTAAGGACATATTTGAATAAACAGTGTCAAAATATTTATACTAGAATCCTTCAATGAATGTCACTGACCAAATCACGTAACTTCTATGTGATAATCCTGTGACGTTTAAGCTCCATGAAATGAGTGCCCCTACATGAGAATCACGTAGCTCTTATGTGAAACGTACGATGGAAAAAAAATCTACGTATGTTTTCACGTAGCATTTACGTGAAAATTATTCAGAGT